TGCAAATTAAGTTGGCGAGTTTTTATTTAACAATCCAGAGATCGTACCCGAAGGATTCGGAAAATAATCGAGGTTGATTTAGTAAAATCGTAACACTATTTTCTATAGAGACATTTTTAATTGTATAATAAATAATGGCATATAATATGAAATCCTGACCCGACTCTCCATTTCCTCATCTTATTCTTGGCTACAATAATTGGAAAATTTTATTAAACAATTTTGAAATATAGAATTCGTTTCGTTTTACACCCATTTTTAATTTTTACTTAAAATTTTGAACGATAAGTGATAGTTATGATGAATTAAAGGTAATAAATAGGAATATCTGATTAAATCCAATTAAATATTTATTTACTCCTGAAGCTCGTAAGACTTATATGGCTCCCATGTCACTGTTGACGTCATAACTTTGAAGTCGTAGATAACCGTAGACTGAATACTACTATTAACACCAACAATAGTGTCAGCCTGGAAATCGTACACAGAATCCCTCTTGCCAACAGATACTACTTCGGACTGAGTAAGTAACTGAGAAGTAAAGCCTTCTCTCGACAAACGAAGGCCATACTCTGCAAGTTTCTCATTTTTCCCGTCCTGCTACATAATGCGGAAGCATGGACGATGACAACATCTGATGAATGGTGACATTTACATTGTTCAGCACATCAAGAAACGGAAGTTGCGCTGGCTTGGCCATGTGGTGAAAGGAGGACTTGACTGTACGTGGTATTTCACTAAGACGGCATGTCTTAACGCGTACAGCAACAGGGTGGCAGGTAGACAAAAATTGACAAAAGGATTAGTTTTCATTTACTCCATGGTCCAAATTTTTTTTGCTGTGTAAGCCCATTCTTGGAACGATTTTTTTAATTTCGTTGTATGTTGTGGAGCAGTTCTTTTTATATTAATTTAAACGAAGTTCAAAAACATCAATTCAGTTGTATCGAATTTAAGCAAATTAGCAAATGCTCATTTAAAAATTATTCTTACAAATTATAGTAATAAAAATTAGGGATTAGTCACGGCGCAGGAATTTGCATAAGTTAGGGAGTTTTCCTTGACCTTGCACTTAGTATCTATCGCTTATTCGTTCCGAGTTTAACCAGCTTTGTTAATTACCTCCATGAGCTCACTACGAAAAAAGAGTTTTCTAGTGAGACGTACTTTCTCAGGTAATTGATGGACTGGAGAAGATAGTTGCTTCCTATGGAAAGCCCGAGCTGAACTACTGTGTAGCTCGGAGGGAAATACTAGCGTTTGTGGTTTGCACAGGTATCCCTGCGGGTAATAGTTACGATTTAGAACGGATCATGGGGCGCTGGAATAGCTTCTACATTTCAAGACCTGGACAAGGACAACTGGTTCGGTGGATTGAAAGCCTGCAGGGATTCGGAACAACAAATAACGAATGACAAAATAAAGACCAGGTATTAAAACAGCCAAACTTGCAGTGAGTTAGTTACAAAGAGAACTCGTTCGTGACAACAATATTGGAAAGTGAGAGCAAAGGAAAATTATTAAATAAATCGTTGCGCATAGTAAAGTGAATTCTTGTTTATTGAGTAATAAATAAATGTTGATTAAGTTCTTTACAATTAAGAAACTTCACAGCAAATTTGTAGACTTTTAGTTAGCATTGCAGCGTTCGAACTCGAATAATTTTTCAGCTCATCGCGGCATATAGCACAAAACTGGTTACAGTAATGTAAAGATTTTCTTTAAATTAACATCGGTACTTTCCCGAGTCCTTTTGGTTTGTATACGATTGTATTAAATAAATATATGGAATTAGGTAGTTCTGCTTCTTTATTGCTTCCGAAATTGAGAGTATGGCTTACAAATAATTCACTGAATATCTGTAAACGACATGAAATGTACAAACATTTAATATTTCAATGAATTAAGCATATAAGAAACTGTCGCTGTCAGGTCGCGCTAAGCTTTCTTTATTCTTGTGGTTGCATCTTTATAAAGTAATGTTGCCAGCGCAAGAAAATTTGTTTCGGAATTGTTTTGTGACTGTTGTTTCTGTCATAGAAAAGTTAAAATCCGTCAATTCGGAAAATACTCAAAGGAGGAAAGTTATATTTTATCACCCCTTGCATATTTAGTAAAACTTAAGTGATTTTATTAAACACAGGGCGATGGCTAGTGCATTGGAAAATTATGTTAATAACGTCCGGACAAAGAGTTCTGAAGGTGAGTATCTATTTAGAAAACTTAAAATGTTTTACTTTTGTACCATTTATAATATTATTTCTGAGAAGATTTTAGTTTTTCATAAAGCTTTCTTCCAATAGGGAATTTCCGTATAATGGTGGAACAACTAAACGACTCTGTGGAGGTGCTTTCACGCTATTGGGAACTACTGGATAATGTTCTGGAAACTTTAGATTTTCAGCAACATTCGCTTGGCGTTCTTTATGTGTTACTAGTGAAATTCAATGGCGCATCCAGTCCGGTTAGTTAGAGAAATACCTATCCTGCATATGTAAATACAAAGTTTCTTTGATGTCTTTTAAGAATGTGAATGCAAATCTGCCTCAAATGTTTAATCTTTATAAAGAATTTATCAGTCAGTGTAACGGTGAACAGGTGCGCTATGCTACGTACACTTGTAAGTATAAAAAAATACAATTGAAATATTTCCTTTGAAATTTATTATCATATAATTATTTTAGATTATGATCTTTGCCACATGTTTACGAGCCTTATTGTTGAACACCCACTGTGCATCCAAGGAATCAAGGTTGTTGCTCAAGCCATCGAAAAAATTCGTCTCTGTGATTCGCAGCAAACTAGTATTCATGCTGATCTCTGCCAGATTAGTTTGAAAGCAAGATGTTTCAAAACTGCATTAAGCTTTCTAGACGTAGATATAACCACTATAGCGACCACATCAGAAGTTCGTGGTCAAAATTCAAATGTTAGTTGCATTTAATAGAAAAGTTATTAAACAGCACTAATGCTATTAGAACTTTATTTCAGGACGCAAATAATGATGCCAAATATTTCCTTCTCTATTATTATTATGGAGGTATGATATACACTGCCGTTAAAAACTTTGATAGAGCCCTGTATTTTTTCGAAGTGTGTATATCAACTCCCGCTGCCGCCATGTCACACATAATGTTAGAAGCTTATAAGAAATTTGTACTGGTATCTTTAATTCTGCATGGGAAGGTAAAAAGTATATAATTGCATAACGTGTATTCAATAATATTTTAAATTTAAGGTTTTGCCTATACCGAAATCATCAGGGCCGGTGATTTCTAGGTTTATGAAACCTCTTGCACAAGCGTATCATGACTTAGGAAACGCATATGCGACATCAACCAATGAAGAACTACGAATTGTTATGAACAAATGTAGCGAAACATTCATTCGAGATAAAAATATGGGTTTAGTTAAACAGGTATTCAAAAAAACTATAATAATAATGGAAAGTTTGGGAAAATTTATACTATTTATAGGTTGTAACTTCGCTTTATAAGAAAAATATACAGCGGCTAACCAAAACATTTTTGACGCTCTCTCTATCTGACGTTGCTAGCAGAGCTCAACTTAATGACGCAGCCGAGGCGGAAAAATACATTTTTAATATGGTGAGTTACGAAAATATATATACATAGATGTCATTTCTTAATTTGCTCTGACTTGGCTTTGTTTTAGATAAAATCTGGAGAAATTTATGCCTCAATAAATAAAAAAGATGGGATGGTTGTATTTAAAGATGATCCTGAAAAATATAACTCTCCTGAAATGTTCCTTAAAGTTCAAAAGGACATGGCGGAAACAATGGATTTGATAAGACAAATAAACAAAATGGAAGAGGAAATTTTGCTCAACCCGATAGTAAGTAAAGTTTTAAGTATTTTAATTGAAATTGTCATAATCTCCTACCGACTCGTTTCCATACAAAAATAAATAGTTGGTGCAGTGAAAGCAATGTCGAGTAGCTACTTGAGATCCACTTATGTTGTATTTGTAATACTGAAATTTCAGTAGTACGTAAATGTAAATGCGAATTCCAAGACAAAATCCATTGAGTTTAGGATCCTTAATCCTCTGTGAAAATATTCTACTTGGATCAGTCCACCTCAGGACTAATTTTTTCCAACTCAACACCCAATATGTTTTTGGTTTAACTTTAGTACAGTTGTAAATAAGTTTAATGGATAGATTTATATTAGTATTTATTTCATTATTTTCAAATTAATATTCACACATCCACATCGAACATTTCCAAAATATGACAACCCAAATCACAATATTTTTTTTAAGATCAAAACAATTGAAATAGAACTGATCAACCAAAATTTATCCCCAATCACGTCGCACGGTATGGAAACATGTGTGGGAAATGTAGTACCCAACACGTTTGAAGCTTTGGGACACAGCTGAAAGACAAGAGGATTTAATGGAGTCAATCTATGATGTTCGGTTTAAGGCTCCACCGAAGTCTTACTGCAGTACCTGTGCACTAAAGAAGCGGTTGCAAATACTTAACCCCTGACCCGCAGGCGGTAGTATAATATTATCGTTCGCTCCAGTGGATGAAGTTATAGTACAATCTTCTATAAGAGTGTATAACTGCTGGCGATGATTTTAACATCAGCGGTCTCAAAAACAGCGACGTTGTGTAATTTTCGTCGTAATTTTGGCCTATTTTTACTGAACTTACAATCTTCCTTTTCTTTGGAATCTTTTATCTCATAAGTTGCCAGTGTATTTGCAGTGATAAAATTGTATTCCCTTTAAATTCCCTTTCATTGACAGCATTTATATAAGTATAGTTACTTTATTTGCAAGAATGTAACTGTAAAAGAGTTTTGATTATATATTAACTTTGTTGTAAATTTTTATGCAGTACGTTAAGAAAGCGTTGGGCAGCCAAGAGGATGAACTAACGTCTCAGCATGCAAAATCTTTTTCTGGGTAATTATGACCTTGTGTAATTAAAATAAATAATAATATTGTATTTCCAGAGATCCAACGGATTGATGATACCATGAAAAGCAACTTTACACCACGCCTATTCGTATGACTAATTTGTATGCTCATCTTCATTTCTCCTGTACTAAACAGATTTGCTTAAGCAAAACTACTTGTATAGAGCTATTAAAGAATTATTTTTAAATTCATATTTGAATTATTATTATTTCCTGAACATGTTATTATTTCTTCTTTTTAGCGATTTATGTTTAAGATGCCTTATATCTTGTGTTGTTGTTTTATAGCGGTCGCTCTACCCCGCTTAGGGACAGGCTAGTTAGTTGAAGTCGGCGACTTCGGACTAGAGCAAGGAGGGGGGTTCGAATTGTCGGTTTAGGGGGCATGTAAAGAGGTGGTTAGTGTCGTGCGGGGACTCATTAAGTAAGAGTTTAACATGCTACAATATCTATGCCTAAGTTGGCCCGGTATTACACGGGTCTCTCGAGACAGCTCGATCTCTGCGTATGCTATCGGTGTTGAATTAACTCCGAGGACGCCATTCACAGGGAGGAGCTCCCTACGGTAACATCCGAATAGGAACTGCTTGCACAGCGAAGCTTTATACTCCTTAACTCATAGCATAAATCATCTGCGTCTTGTTGTTGTTGTAGTTGTAGCGGCTACGTTTACCCTGCTTAGGGACAGATTAATTAATCTAAATTACCGAGGTCATCTAACGGGAGATCCAGGAAACGTGCTGTTTCTACTGGATTGGATCAGGGGGAGAGGAGGTTAGATGTGCCGGTTTTAGGGTGTATATGAAGAGGTGGTTAGTATTGTGTGAAGACTCCACATGCAGGGCATACGTTGGATATGTTGGGGTCGAGTCTTGATAGGTGGGAGTTTAACCTGGTACAGTATTCGGGCCTAAGTTGTGCCAGTGTCACGTGGAGCTCATTGTCTGCAATAGGTGGTGTTTTTTCTCCGAGCAAGCCAACCACGAGAAGGTAGTCTTTGCAGGTGTTGGCTGACTCCTTGTGAATGGCGTTCAGTGCTTGTATGTACGCCGTCCTGCATAGATGATGCGCTGTCCGGCGACATCAGAAGGTTCTCTGTCGCGGTCTTGAGAGTGATGTTCTGACAAGCCTATAGCTTATTCATCCGCTTCTAGTTCGTCCCTGGTGCCCAGATCGATGTAATATAGTTAACCACCGGCCGGATCGCTTTCGAGGCTGTCAGCAAGGTTTCTTTACCTCAGGTGCTGCCGGCTAGCGGCTCGGTTGCCCCAGGGGAGAGATTGTCGGCGATCCACTTTTTTACGCCTGAATGTAACGGGCGGCAGCGGTCACGACTATCCTGCGGAAGAAACCTTCAGTATATGTTTTGGTGTAATAATTTTGTAGATATAGACGGGAACAGACTTCTGAAGCATGAAGCCATGTACGCATCACTCCATTCACGACTTGACCGCAGGCCAGAGCACATCCAAAAATGACACCTGTGTTCACCTTCTAAAAGGGTCAAACCAATTTCCTGCAGATATCACGGCTGGCCAGTGACAGAGGTAATGCTCGATAGGTAAGCCATTCTTTTCCCGTGAAGTCCCATTAAACGATGGCCCACTCTTATGCCTGTTGTTACGTTACGTCTAGATGGATACGGAGCAGAAGGTGCATCTTGATGCCATGTTCCGTTGCACTGCGGCCTGACAAAAGGGGACTAGGAGCTGCTGGATAGCTCTCGCACGGGAAGGGGAAGAAGAACTGGTTGCGGGTAGGGGGTGTAGCACGGCGAAACTATAGAGTTCTGTGCCGTGGAGGCTGGAGGCGAATTTGAGCGCTGGCAGCAAGGGGCCATATAACGTGTGGACCACTCCCTCTGTGTCTTAAGATGGCTCCAGCCATTACACAAGTACTTCCAACATAAATGAAGGAGTTGTGGAGTCTTTTGTGACAAACGCAGCAGAAATAACCCGTCGGACCAGAGTAGGTTTCAACGTAAGTCCCGATGAAAAGGATTTGGAGCAGCCCAGCTGCAAGGTGTAAGGTAACCTTAGACTAATGTTACCTGTTGAAATAAACGTGTTGTACTAACATCAAGCTATGGCTGTGTTTGCACATCACATTCAGAAAATGTTATATACGCATTTGAATATAAAATTATGGTATGCGTTTTGATGTTTTGCTAACACATGCAGAGACTTATAGTGTATTCTAAGCTGCATGGGGATGGATTTTTGAGAAGAGCTTTTATTTCTTGTCAGAAATACATTCGGAGGACTTGAGATTGCCTGCCAAAGGGTGACTTCGATTAGAAAAAATCATTGTCTATAATTTTGGATGAGGGCCGAACCAGGACTCGAAGCCAGCTCTGCAGAATGGCAAAACACAATGCTAATCACTCGGCTATTGCGGCCGCATTATTAACAATTCTGTAAATTTTAAATATTCTTCATTTTAACTATTTTTCCTGGCAATACACACATGTGATAATGTTGGCCAAACTTAGTCGCTTTTGAGCGATTATTTCTATTAAAAAGCATTCCTGACTGTCTATCCTGGCTTGCAGACCGTTTGTACTTGCTCACTGGCTTTCAAACACGACCGTCCATCGATTCGCAGAAGGAAAATCGGTTCATGCAGTTTTTCACGTGGCACCCGCATGATGGTTAGACTCGACGAGTTCAATTATTTTGTCGACATTTTCATTAATTGGCCTTAAACACCGTGAAGCATCTTTTACGAAGGTATTAACAAAAGTTGGTTACTTCCAATTCAGAGAATGCCAAATTGTATATGGAACGATTGCACTGTCTTTAAAGACTATTTGTAAGTGGTTCCGAAGTTTCCAGACTTGAAATTTTTCTATAGTACACGAAGAAATCTGCTCGATGGGTACCAATGAGGCCCGTAAAGCATTTTGGTAAATTTTTCTATTCAAAAATTCGAAAATGGTCAGTCTAGCAACTTCGGTGAAGTTGTTACTCCTGACAAAACTTGGTTCTATAAGTACGATCCAGAAACCAAACAGCAGTCCATGGTATGGAGCCCAATGGGTACAAACCCACCTGTAAAATCTAAGCAACAAACGTAATGATGCCAGTTTACTTTGCCATCTAGAATCGTAGCTCTATTCCACTGGAAAAGATTCAGACGGTAACTGAAAAAGAGTACTTACCAAAAAATTTATGGAAAATAGGAAGAAGAAGGATTTGCGGCGCTACGTTTTGCATTATGACAACGCGCCATTCCACACTGCTAAAATAGCGAGTGATTTTATTGCGATCTTTGGGATCGAAGAAATACCTTGTGATTTCTTGTTATTTCCAATAATTAAAAAAGGAAAGGTCTTTAATAGCAACGAGGGGATAATTCATGCGGTTAATGCTGAAATTTATAAGCTTTAAAAGCAAGATTTTGAAGATTGTTTGCCGAAGTGGATCTATGGGCTTAATAAAAGCATTGAAATCAATGACTATTATCTAGAGAAGATATAAAAACACAAAGGTGACGAATAAATACAAAAATAATTTTTTTTCTGGTCAACTTACCGCCTTTTTGTTAATCCCCTTGTTTATCAAAATTACCGGAACGAAATAGACGAAACCAAATTGTGCTGGATTAGCTGTAACAGTATTAGGACCATAAAATTAACTATCGACGAAAAATTGTAGTATGCTGCGTATTTTCTTTTTGCTGGTGCCCATCTTTGACGCGCTCGAGCACTACTCAGTAAGGTGATCAAACGTTTTCCCATTATCTTCTAACGACAACTAGACTAGATGGCATACATAATTGTATATTATTCATTTTATATGGCCCGGTAGCCGTGTGGTTAGTATTGCGTACTGCCATTAGGAAGGTTCGGGTTCAAATCCTGGTGTCGTACTCACATCCAAAAAGTTATAGAAAAATTTATTTAACAAAAATTAGGTTGAATTTTCTAATTGCGGTCGTCCCTCGGCAGGGAATGTATTTATGGCATGAAATAAAGCTCCTCATAAAAAAAACTCTCAGTTTTTTTCAGTAGTTTTGACTCTGACTTATAAATATGTTGTAATTATTTAAGTGATTCCATCATATTATAAACAAATTTAAACTGTTTTATGTCGTAAAATAGTATAAGGTACATACATACATATGCATGTATGTGTTATTACATATATTTGTGATTTTAGATGCATAAATAATATTACTAAGTTGAATCTTCAGGTGGGTTGATTTTGACAGTTCCAAGTGCACTCATGGCATTCGCAAAAATGGCCGACGCTCGAACTGCATGCGTAGATAAACTGGAGGCATTGACATTTCTATAAGGAGTAGCCATATCCTCAGATTGCAATAACCTCGTTGTTGAAGTGGCAACAGTTTTTATGGGAGCGTGGGTGGTTGAGGTATAATTTTTCGATGCTGTTTTGCGTCGAGAAGATCTATGTGAACTGTGATACAATTGGCGTTCGCTAATGCATGTAGGCACATTGCTTATTGGTATTTGTGATAGTCGATCATAATATTTTATTATTTTGTTTTGTTGAATATCCGAAAGTTCATCCAAAACATCGGCAGACTTATTGATTTTCTCATTTCCTAATGTCACGTAGGCCAGATAGCTTGGTGCCAGAGTAACAATAATTCTTAACGCTGCATTATTACAGATGTTTAGGGAAGATGTTAAGGGGTTTCATGGATCTCGCAGTTTCCAACAATCATACATTATATTTTATTGTGTTATTACCCAATCGAAATGAATTGTTTGCATACAAAAAGAATGCATGAAGAAACATGAAACGTGCATCGCTCAGTACTAAGTTCCTCAGGAATTCTATCAGTCATAAATGCTTGGACGACCTAAGGTGATGTATATGTACGTATGCATGCATGAATTGTGAAAAATAATATCTTAAAATCCTTCTGAAATATTGATAACATATGTACATATGTATGTATATCGTGTATATCGCAAATTGCAAATAGAAGTTTGAATAAACAATAAATGTAGATTGATACAAAAAAAAAATATTTTATGAAATTTTGTATGCATGCTGTTATTGCTTTTGAATAGGAAAAGTATACATGCTCTCCTGGGAACTTCAGGTGCTAAAAAGAAATAGAAGTTCAATTATACTGGCATGCATTCAAAGTCGATTTTTCATGCATCTTACATCGATGTTGTATGCATCCGATTTCTATTGGGTAACTTCTACAACATCTAGATAATATTTTAAGTGTGCGTTGAAAGACAGCTAAGCTGAGGGCTCTAAATTTAAACGCGTTTTTCGAAACTGTGTTTTCAAAGTCAGTTGTCAAAAGCTCTCGAAAATCCTCAACGGATCTTCAGGAAACTTATACAAATATTCGAGATCAAACTCATGAGCAATTAGACTAAGGATTTTTTTGCAATTGCAACTATTAAAAAGTATGTTGAACAAATTTTACTAAAATTTGCACTTTTTGTAATAAAAATATAATAACAATCCAGTTTTCTTCTTTTTTAAATTTTCATTCGTCCAAATACACTTTGGATAATCCTGTTACAAGTTCTACTGCCAACCCAGACGCACTTTTTTTTGCTATGGTTCACCGGAAATGACAGCGCAATGGCAGAGTTTCGATTATTACCCTTGAAATTTAAAAGAAAAATTTTCAGAGCGTATCTTTTAGACAACAAATAGTTTGAATGAAATATTTTATTTTTTATTTAAAAAAAATATTGAAAATCGCAATTTTTCCCCGAATAAACCCATGGAACACCTTAACAACAGTATGGGGACCAAATGGGCTGTAACGGTTGCAGGTTCGATTGGTAATGCTAATACGAAAATTACACAACTGCAATATAGTATAATAGCATTAAGAAACAATGCAAATAATCATACCTTTCAAAGAACAAATCCAGCCATTACCACCATTAACATCCCCATTTCTGGTATAATATAATATGTACTTATGTATAACCAACTATTTTTCACAGTTATAGAAATTTGATAATGAGTTTTGCTACAACTTATAGCATTGCTGTCTGTAGGCTGTATCCCATAAGCTGAAGCACAATAATTGAAAATCTAGCTTTTCAAATATTAACCTGATTTCGCCTTTCGGTCATTAAGGCTTTCTGATGAACGCAGCACAATTCCACTATGATTTCTCGCTAGATTATTATCTTTAAAGTCTATGCTCATTATGTTGGATAGAGCCACACGCGCAACCGGCAGGCTATCGTAAATGCACACATAGATTTTATGGCTGACGTAAACAACAATAAAGCAAAGGATGATAACAAGCAGTAATATAAAGACGTATGCCAATATTGTTGGAATGTAGACAATAGTGTCCAGCATTGTGCGTGAAATTTTTTTTTTAAAGAAGTACGAATGGCTGATACAAAAAAATTTTATTTGATGCTTATGTATAAATATTTTTGCTGGTTTCAGTCATTTAAATTTGTGTGTCAAGAAGGTGCTTGTTTTACAGAAAACAAGGTTACGACAACCGTTGACTTCATCGAACCAACTTTCTTCACATTTACATTGAGCGAACGATAATAAATATTTGGATTATTATAAGAAATAATTGAATACTGTTTAAAAATACATGGATGTCGATATGTTTGAGCTTTATAGTGGTGTCCGTTGGTAAATGTCTGTAAAAACTTTTAAAGAAAAATATCTCCAACTGTTTATATTGGCGGTTAAATTTCATTCGCTGAGCTATAGCAATGTCATCATATAGCTCGTAGAGCTCATAGTTCCATAGTCTGCGGTGTTCACCGTTGCCAATACGAAAAGAACCATAAATCGTTCGCAAAACTTTTCTCTTGAAGATTCCCAAAGGCGACTCATCAACTGTTGACATCGCGACTTGTAGAGGTTGATATACGTTCGCCTTGAGAGAAATTTAATTTTTAATAGCCTACTCAGTCCAAAGTAGCATCTGCTCGCAAGAGTCATTCTGCGCTGGATTTAAAGGCTGGAATTATTAGTGGTGTTGATGCTAGTTCCTGGGAGCCAAGTCGCGATGACTGTGTGTTTGATGAGAGAGATATTTCGTCTTGTCCTCGTTCACTCAAGCCTGGAGAAAGCAGAAACAAAATCATCTGCTTACGATGGTAGTTCAGATCTGTCTGCGCTTCTGGTGTTTTATAGAGTCAGTTTGAACAGCCGTATAAGTTTTGCGGCGTATCAAATTCAGACATAGCGGCGTATAGCCAGCTCCTTATCGTGCTGTCAAAGGCAGCTTTAAAATCGACGAAAAGTTGGTGAGTGTCGATCAATGGTTGACTTGCCAAAGTCTTTCACACAAAATTCTCTATAGGACCTTATATACGTTGTTAAGAAGGCTTATCCCACGGTAGTTGGCGCAGATTTTTTGTGGTTGAGCAGAGTACAATAAGGTTCCAACCGTCGGGCATTGCATCGGACCAAATTTGGCAAAAAAGCTGTGGCATGTACCAAGTTTGAGATGCTGTTCCACAGTTGCCTTACATCAAGATGCGAATAGGTGCTCTCAAAAATCAGGGGTACAAGCAGAGTAGGAAACCACTCGGCAGTCTGTTGTGATTGCAGCTTTTCGACGTGGATCTTCCTTGTGTTTTTTGATGGTCGTTCTTTGAGACACAGAAGCGTGTGTGTATCTTCGCTGCATAAAGATAGTGATCCAAGTCGATGGTGGGTCCTCGGAGTGTACGCACGTCAAGAAGACGGGATACATATCTTCCGTCTATCACAAGATGATGATCGATCTGGTTTTGTGTTATTCGATCTGGAGACAGCCAAGTAGCTTGGTGAATTTTCTTGTGTCGGAATGTAGTACTACCGACAACCATAATTCGGACCCCGGCGAAGTCGATCAGTCTCAACCCATTTGGGGAATGTTTCGTTGTGAAGGCTGAAATTTCCAACTGTCGTACCAAATATACCTTCTTTGCTCACCCTGGATATTAAAATCGCCAAAGCACGATTTCCACATCGTGGCGGGGGCAACGCTCGTAAGTACGCTCTAGACGCTCATATAAGGCGTCTTTGACCAAATCGTCCTTCTCCTCCATCGGGACGTGAGCGCAAATCAACGATATATTGAAAAATTTTGTTGTGATGCGGATTGTGGCAAGACGTTCATCCACTAGGGTGAGTGCAGGTACTCGGCGACGGAGTCTCTCTCTTCCACCACCAATCCGACACCAATTTTGCGCTCCTTTATTTGGACGCTTTAGTAGATGCCTTGCTTTCGTCCTTGTCCCGTCCATCGCACTTTTTGGACGGCGGTGATGTCAGCCTTTTATTTAGCGAGGACATCAACCGTCTTTGTATCGACACCTTCTCAAATTAAAGGACTGGACATTCCAAGTGCATATCCCCAAATCGTTATCCTTAGAACATTCACGGCTCACTAGTTTTTACTGTCTGAAAATTACCCAACACAGATTCGCTCCTTTATCTCCAACGTAAACATCGAAATTGCGCTCTCTCGTTAATAGCTTTACTACATTTTTGGCTCAGTAAAGTTTGGTAAAAATTGTTACTGTCCATCTGATCAGAACAGAACTAAAAACAGCAAACTTACCCAGGATTGCTTTTTTTGTAATCTGGAATATATATATATATATATATACATATAGCTGCAATCAATAGATTTTTATCAGGTATGAACGCAGGAGCTTTTGGGGGTTTAAGTCCCTAGGAAATTATTTTTTTTGTTTTAATATCAAATAAAGTTTTCTGGTTTATAAGTTTCATGGGTTATAAATTTCGTTGTGTAGTGATGTGAGCTTTTCACTCTACAATCAAAAGATGATGTGCTTACGCGAGGAGCGTAAATCCTTGCTTAACTTTGGGTGCTAGCTAATTGCTTTCTGTTATTTGGGTTTTAGCATTCTAGCATAAATGGAAGAATGCAATTCTTAAATGATCAGCGAAGTGATACGGCCAAAGTGTTCATTGTTTGCAAAAGAATTTACCTTCGAATCTGCATACGAGTACATCGGCAAGGAGTAAGGACGCTTTCTATGAGCGTCTAGAACGCGTCTATGAACGCTTGTCAAGGAAGTATAACGAATGGGTTTGGCAGCACGAAATTGAAGGCTTTAATTACTATAGTTAGAATGATCTGATTTAGTTGAAAATTACGCCGTTTTGCTCGAAATGAGTTGTTGCTATTTTAGAAGTAACTTCATTATGTCCCTCTCATAGAAGCCCTCGTTCCTATTGGCAAAAAAATGAGACAGTCGATTTTCACAAACTTCTCTTGAAGCGAATTTTTCACGAGCAAAATTGATCGTCATTGACAGTAACAGATGGTTATCACTTGGTGCCAAGTGTATAAGGTGTATGCGGTGTATGCATAAACACCTCCCAACTAAGCTCCCGGAGCTTTTGGTGAGTCACTATCGTTGTGTGTGGCCTGGCGTTGTCATTATGGAACACAATTCCTCTCCCATTGGCCAAAGCTAACGATTGCTTCCTCCACACGGTCCAATTGCTGACAGTAAAGTTCCAAGCTAAGAGTTTTGCCGCATGGGAGCAGCTCGTAATAGATAACTTCCTGTCTATTCAGTGGCGATCCGCAGATGGAAATTCGGTCCATGAAGTTAACTCATGTGACACTTACATCGAGCTTCTTTTCGTATCATGCCATATTCAAATGATTCCAAACGGTTTTTTGTGCAATCTTTAGCTCTTGGGCAATCCAAATAGAGCCTACATGACGGTCGGACTCGACAATGACCATGATTTTAGCGACATTTTCGACAATTGGCCTTCCAGTCGGAACCAAAATTGCACATGATTGGCTGTTACAGTATCTGGACCATAAACACAATTCACATTTTCGAAGAAAAACTGTAAAATATAGCAAGTCACTCAGACGATATCGACATCCGATGGGTAGACTCTGAAGCAAAAGTTTTGCGAACGATTTATGGTCCTTTGCGCATTGAGTACAGCTTTACGGCACAAGTTATACTGTGGCATTGATATAGTTCCGGGAAAGAAGAGACAGCGGCTACGCTACCTAAGCCAAGTATTTGATGAAATACTCGCTTGTGGAAGCAGAGGAAGAGGAAGACTTTCTCTCCTTTGGGAGGTTAAGATGGAGAGTGATCTTGTTTCTCTTGGTAGAACCGAATGGTGCGATTTTGTTGACTCGGATATAATCACCTGCCCACGCCACTGAAGAAGAAGCCACAGACTGCACCTTAAGTGAGGTGTAAGGAGCTGTTACAAAAAGAAAAGAAAGAAAAAAATGGAAATATTTATAATATCTCGCCATTGCTATTATAAACATATCCTATGGATTGGAGCGAAATTTGGTTTACCTCTTCTTCTGCGAATTCAGTGCGCTTCTGAATTCGATTTTGTAAATTTTAGCCCCAATTACATTCCTCTTTTTATATTGACAGCTGCCGACAGCTGTTTGAAACTTCCAATCTCAACTCCTGTACATCATCAAAAATCATGATGAAATAATATACAGGTGAAGCAGGTAGAGTAGAAAGAGACCGAATTTTAAGAGAAAGGAAGGGAAGAAAAATCAGATTTTTATCAAGACAATTATTTAGACAAATATTGAAACTTAAAGAAAATATTCCGAATTAGATCTCCTTTTTTAGCAGAAAAAGCACCTCCTTATTCACTTTCTTCTAATAAATTGTTGAAAGGTAAAACTTTCTATTTTTCTTGCGGTATAAAAACAAAAACATTTAATAATATGTACTTGAAATGTACAGGACTGGTTTTTCAAGCATTTCACCAAGCTACGAATCATACCAGAAATTTTGAATAACAGTTTTCTATAGCAGAATAATGATGCTATTTGCTCTTGTATGAAACATACGGTTATCAATTTTGCGTAACCCTGCCAAAATAAAGTTTTTTTTTTTTTAATTTTAGGCCGATTTCATATACATACATATGTAAATTATGAAAAGCTGCTATGAAAAGAAGATATGGATGAATTTTTCAATTTAAGAAAACTAATTTCTTATGTTTTGAATGTTGATTGGACCAACACACGAGCTCTGGCCTTTCGAATGATTGTACGCCGTGTTAACTACTCGGGTGACCGAATGATTATACAAATCTATATGTTTAAAAGCTTCTAGTTGTTAATTATAAAGGGATTTTCACACAAAGTCCATCACGCTGCTTTAAAAAAATTATGTTACTGAAAGAAATTGTAACCAAAAGCATTTTAATAGGTATTAACCTGAACATTACATTGTATTTATTCAACGTGGATAGCTAGAACGCAAATACCCAAACATCGCCTCTAAATACAATAGTAAGAAGCAAATATCAACTTTATTGTAGTTTTGAATTTACAGATCGAACTTAGTTTTTTATATTTCATATTTTCTAATGCATCTCATAATTATATGTACTGGTAATTCCAATTATTGCATGAAGCTAAACGCTAAGTCAAACCAAATTTTCGCTTTCTTTAAAGACGCGACACTGGCCAATAATGAAATGCTAATAATTGAATTTATTGTAAGTATGTGTTTAACGAAATGTATATTATTTTCAATTACTACCGCGTTATATTGGCTTTACTATAATTGTTCAAGCAAAAAGATGAGCAAATTCTTATTTATAACGGAATGCCGTTAAAACCAACATTGACATCCCTCCTGTAATGCCAGCTCTTTTCATTGATCAAAAACTTTAAATTCTCCGTTTTTTCTAAGATTTATTTTAAAATTTGGGAACAAAAATTATAAAAGCGACATTTTTTGCCAAGGCAGGGTGTGGGAAAGGGACAATTTTTACTTACTTCACCCGTATATTATTTCATCATGATTAAAAATGGGGTTTACTTTTTGGTTTTCATTTCACTATTTTTCGTTGTTGTTGTTATATAGGTATACCACTATTTTATAGAACTCATATGTACATAGCATAACATACGAGTATATTAGGAAATATGTGTTGGTGTTTACAACTTACCGATAATAATGCTACTACAAAAAACAAATAAAATAAGAACAACGACGTTTACATATGTATATTCATGATACTCAACTCTTTATTTTTATTTAATCCTTTTTTGCATAGCATGAATTTGCATTTGTTTCTTGAAATTTCAAGAAGAAGTATACCTTAAGTGATAAGTTTCTTTAACTGTTTTGAAGCTTGACATTTAAGTACCACAAATACACAATTAGGACATAAGATTTGTTTTATTATTTACCAGCAAGAAGCTTGTATGTACATCTTTTATCTATATTTGACAATAAGAAACATGCACCTTCTTTGTGCTGTTGCAGTAAATAAATGTACAGTATACGTGTATATCAAAGACACATTCTTAAAGAATATCTATTAAAATTTTCGAATATTTGATTTAAGATAGTCTAACTGTTTCACATCTCAACTATGACGAGAATATTCCTGTGAATGTGTCACCAATGTTTCATTTTGATTACATGAATTATATACTCTTGCCATATTTATTTCTTCAAGCCATGAAAAGAAATGGTCTGATTTAACGGACATAAATTAATTTTATACATTCTAATTTTTGAAGCGAATTGAAGAATTTGGTTGCGATATAATAGGGAGTTCATAAGAACGTCGTATTCATCGTATTTGACGAATGTACATAAATCTGAACATATACATATATATAACGTGATACCATAGTTGCAATTTATTCCATAACTAATCAAAAATTATGAAGATTAGAAAAAAATGTCAAAGTGGATGATACTAATAGAGATGCCGATAAGGATCACTATTCAAAGAACACACTAAAAATTCTTCTCAAAGTTATATCGATATAGGTCATTTTACTGCCGAAAAAACACATTACAGTGATGCTATTACAATGCGGCAGACTGTGTTATTGGCATCTCTCTAGACAATATAAGCAATTAGACATTCAAATATATATTGATATTTATCTTAGAGTAGTTTTATTGTAATAATCAATAATGTAAGCATCGGATATGAAGTTCAGTTCATAATTTCATATATTTTACATACATACTTATAAATAAATATGTTTATTATATAAATTATATAAATGATGAACAGATAGTATAAATGTTCGATAAATGTAATTTGTATACCCATGTATGCAATGATTTGTGTTATTATTATTATTTTTTGTTACCAGTGAATGCATATATACTTACATCTGATTTATGCAGCTATGAAAGTTTTACATCCAAACTAATACATATGTAGTTATTTAAATTACATTTACAATTTTGTTATATTTGTACCTCCAAAGAGCCCCATAAAATTTACTATTGTAAATATAAAGTCATCATAAAGGATTTTGGAAATTGTCATTGTATTAGTCGCATATGTCACATGTTTTTTTTAGCATTTCATACGCTACATACTCGTTTATTTAACCCGCCGGCGGGTCCCCTCGTTCACAATCCTTTTGCTGCAGCTTCTTTTGTCCATATCTATATTAAGAGAAATTAAACGGACAGTCGTAAACAAGATGATTTCTTTGTTAGTTACTTGTATGCAGGTTAGGTTTGTGGTTTGATGAGTTTATTTAGTATATATTCAAGAGCGCACCAGCACTGTTCTTTTGACTATTCATTCAGTTTGCTTTTACGTGTTAGCACTGTGCGAAATATATTATATTTAGAGTGCATAATATAAACGATGTTGGTTGATTTTGTTTGTTTGCAAAGTTTTTAAAATTTAATTTAACATCTACTTACTTCCGTTTAGGTATTCCGATCGTTTTCGAAAAATGGTATTAAACTTCAAATATTTTTGAATCAACAAATAAATCGGGCATTTAAATATGAAACACCTTAAATGCATTTCATCGTTAGGATATAAGTTTCCGGTTAAGATTATTAATGAGTTAATTAATATTCTAAGTTTATTATAGTAGTGTGCTTATAAAGATAGGCTCAAAAAAGTTATATAGAAAATTATATGTGAATACAATGCTCACTCAGAGAATGGCTATTAAGAATTCAAAGAAAAGAGCAGTGCAAGAAATTTATTATTATAACTCTCAGCAGTAGGTTTATGAGACACATCTCGTGCCTCACAGTAACCATTAAAATGCATGAACTTTAGAAACTAAATAGTATATAATATAAGCAATATTACTACTTATATTAGATAATATATTTTTATACAATGAGATTGAAACAAAATGAATATTTTGTTTACGAAGATTTAGAAAATATAAAAATGTCCTTCTTTATTTTTTTTTTTTTGCCATATCAAAAAACCATGAAGATCAATTCGTTATTGTGCATTCTAGCCTATATTGTCACTTGCGAGTCAAACGATGTTGGTAAAGCGAAAGTTTAGTGAGTTTATCTAGAGTTTCTTTTATCCCCGGTCTGCCTTAAATAGTGAAAAAAATTTGCAAACATAAATTTAAAGTTATATTTGTTTGAGTGATTTAACGATATTACAATTCGCAAATAAAGGAAGCTGTCATGGATTTTTCAATTCTATCAAAGAGAATATCATTTACAAGTTAATTCATAAAAATTATTTCGGATAATAGCTTCATAGTTTTTTATCAAATTGACAGGTTTTCGTCGATTTTCATTTGGCAATATTTTTATTCGACTCGCCGGTGACCATGCGAACATATATTTTAAAACTCCGTAGAATGCTGTGGGCTTTTCTTGTTGCCAGTTTGAAATATGAAATTAATTTTAAATACACACTTATACATTTAGCTCATTCATTTTTTATTATCTTGTTTCAATACTGCGGCAGCACATATTTTGACTAAACCATGTAACTAATTCGAATTTCCTCAAATTTAATTTGTGTAGTTTATTTTTCTATTTTGAATTATAGATTCGTGTCCTTGAATTTATGTAACTGTAATGTTTAAAATTTTATTGATTTGGCTGTTTTACTATTCCGTTGATTAAGTATTCGCTTTGTTGCCTTCCATCCCACAATAATCCAAAGTGAATTTTTTACTCCAAAAAGTTTCTCGTAAACAGATGTAGAATCTCGGATTTTTACTTGCGACTCATTTAAACAGATAGTGAAACAAAGCTGTTATATTGCGTGATATTACGCTTCAAGATATCTGCGCAGAGTCCCAAAACACGCTCAAATCTGTAGGAATAAAAAAATATTGCATTGTATACAGTTAGTCTTTAGCGCAAGAAGTAATTAAACATATATCGAATACAAAGATTACATCAGACACAAAAATGTTAATATATATATGTATATATATATAATTGGTGGTTTGTAACCACTAAAGCGACTTTTGGCTAAGCTCCTCCTCTGATTTGTGGTGAGCGCATTTTATTTCGAGTAATAAATAAATTCAGAGTTGACATTCATAGTGTTACAGTACTGATTTTTGCAGTTACAAATTTTAAAAGTGTAAAGCGAGCTTTAAGTTTTTTTATATTTAGTTTATTTTTTTTTTTGTCATTTTTATAAAGTAAATGTGAGGAAGCGGACTTCAGAAAAATATACCAATGTACTAATTCCAGAGATTGACGATTTCCGGAGAAACCTCGATATGGAGATGAATGTTTTTGATGGGTTGTATCCAACAACCAAAATTATAAATTTCTTTGCACTCAAGCATATAGTCGAAAGCTACACTTTTACATACAGGGAGTCTGCCTTTGTTTTACCAACAAATACAGTATTTATATACCCATAGTCTCTTAGCAAAAAGTGTCAATAATCTCTCCGAAATTCACCAAATAACTTCGCGTTCAGAAAAAACCACGAATATTAATATACTATTGTAAATAACATATTCTATAAATATCAATTTGTCATAAGGATATAAAAACGCATTTTTAATTACATGCCTTTATATTAAATTAAGAGTGATAATAAAATATATGTAGATAGTTGAAATCTGAAATTTTTTATTGGATTTTGGTTTTCATGTGGTGGGTCCCAAACCCTACGCACAATTGCATAGGATTTGCTTTCCCACGTTAGCTCGCCTCCAAACGGATGTTTGTTGGCTACTCAGGAGATACTTGGTCTAAGACCGGAAATCGTGATCTGTTTGAATCATATCTGAAAGAATCGTTTCTGGCCACTCTCAGGTGGATGGCAGTCAAAAACTTTCTTCACTTGCGTGAACTTCTACAGCTGTTATCGTTGATATTGACATTATTGGCCTCAATAACCTCGCCGTGAGTTCTGCTTTCTACAGACTTAATAAAGAAGCGAAGCGAATGGGTCTGGTAGTGAACGAGGGCAACGTGAAATATCTCCTGTCATCAAATAAACAGTCATCGCACTCGCGACTAAGCTCACACGTCACTGTTAGCAGTCATAACTTCGAGGCCGTAGATAATGTCGCCGAATCGATCCTCGAGATTCTCTTAAGTAAGTTGAATTTTATTTCGACACAGCCGTTTTAATTCAGGAAAAAACTTTAAATTGTTTTCAACATAAGAGTTTCTCATTGAGCGAGGTCTCATATGTACTAAAAATTAATCGTTCTGAGTGTTATTTTTTCTCGCAATATTTCTATTCCGCATAATTCATTGAAATGACAACTGTCATAGCATTCTCTTCAAGAAAACATATCCCGTATATACACGAGCGTGCTTTTCAACAAAGCTTCTGCTAAAGTGAACGAATGATGCCATCAATCGGGTTGTGGAATGGGCCAAGGCAATCAAATATCTGCTTGATAACTCTTGGTCCACTTCCGAAAATATTTATATATTAATCCAAGCCATAGAAAAGATTTTTTCGAAGAGATCGGTCCTGGGTAGTATTTCTGGAAAGAAAGGTAATGTTTCTGCTAAACTAAGCGAACGGCTACTTAATCGAATTTAAGGAAATTCAGATCTTTCTCGGTGTGTGAAACTTCTTTTGACTCAATAAAGAAGCGACTTTTATATGTTTTACATAGTATTGCAACGAAATAAAAATCACATCACCGTTGTGTCGCAATAAGATTGGCAGCTGCTTTTAAATTATAACTCAAGGTTATTACCGGCATTAAATAGGGCAATATTTTCAATTGGGATCTGCAAAATAGACGGTGTCGAAATATTTATGGGAAGTTTGCAGTGCAAGAGAAAGTTGTTTCTCCAAAATATATGGTGTTTAAAATGACAGCAAATTAAAAGCGAGAATCAACACGACATGAAATCTACCATTATTTCAAATTGCCTTATTTATAAAAAAAAATGCCGTTATGAACTTACATTTTCCAACCGTTCCGAAAGCTGGTTTCTTGTCGGATGATATTTGCCATTTTTGAATAGAGTTCACTGTTGGCACCACTCGAATTAAAATGCTATTATAGAAATACGTACTAGCATTTATTCGAACTCGAACATTTTTTCATACGAATCGCAATACGTAGTAGGGGCCTAGGTCTCTTAATGCTGATTGGCTATCGGAGAAAATATGAATACACTTGAAGTATCATTTGACCGGCAGTCGCAAGTATTTACAAATCCCTAATAACCCCCGTATCAAGTTCATTGAGTCTGCAAATACTGGAAGAATCCTGTCCATTCACGTATTCAGACAACTTTTGCAGTCTTACAACTGCATAAGCAGCTCAGTATGTGAAAGTCGTTTTCTATATGCAATTTATAAAAATTCTGTCTTTTCATTGATCACTTTAAATGTTATTTACTCATGCCATTCGAATTATATGGCATCAAAAGCTAGAGTTGCTAGCGATGGAAATTTTGTTTTTACAAATTATATTAAAAGAACTAATTTCGTTATATATAGAGTGGGGGAGACTTAATATAAATATATAATCAAAAAAGTAATTTTTTAAAAAATATATGTATATGTATTTGATGCTAATAAAATAGTTATGGGAAAAAATTTCTGATTTGGCGGTTTTTTATGATGAGCGAGGTGCAAGGCATAGCCTGTTTTGATAAAACCATGACCCAGGTGGCCGAAGACTACCAAATTTGAATAAGAGATATACTACGGTGGAGTTAAAACCTTATTTTAATACCAAAATTTCAAATTTTTATCTCAAAAACTTATATCACAAAATTCATAAAACGGTTAACGAGTCTGTTATAACATAGTATCTTAGTTTTAATTTGGCAGAAAATATTATAATAAAGCTCTCACACAAGATCTTTTTCAAATTTTGATCAACAATAACCCATTGCACACTTTTTCACCGGCTCGAATTTTTAAACACGATTTTTTCACAGGATAAGCGTCATCCATTTCCCAAAAGCTTTTCAGCAGATAAAGAAAATATGCGAAGATGTCTTTGCCAAAGTTTTATATGACCCAGGTTTTATGCTTTATTCAATTCGTTTACATAGGGTAGTCCTCGGTAAGAGTATACTTTAGATAAAATGAATATAATTCGCTGACAAAAATTAAAAATATATTATGCCTTGAAGGCATTACAGCATATGGATTTAGAAAATATAATACGCAGATGTATATGAAAATGCGAGTACAAAAGGTTGTTTCCGACACACATCTACTGCGACTAGGCAATGCATTGTATTGTGGTAATAATTAATTTTAGGCGTTTAACTGGTAATATTGAACTTTGAAATGAAATTGAATTATTCAAAAGTTATAGCTGGTACTGAGTGACTAAGAATGTGACCCAGGTTTTTGTCCAGAAAAAATCGATATTCTTTTTGAGTGTTATGGACGCATGTTAAAAATGGATCTCAGTCGAAAAATCGCTTAAGCGGTTATAAAAAATTTATATACAATTTATAATGAGAGTACTCACCTCGCTCTGTCAAGCTTAACACATTTTAACGGCCCTCTAGCCACTACAGTAGCCGCTCTTGGACGGTCTAACAGCAAAGCGATTTCCCCAAAGTAGTCGCTGGGACCTAAACGTCCCACCTCGGCAGGCTCATCTCCTTGCTAAGGAATGAAGAAAAAACTATTTACTGCTGAATGTAGTGTTTATTTACTTTACCTCAGCTCGTCGTTGCAACACAACAGCGGTTCCATCTAAAATTATGTAGAAATCATCGCCCGGTTCACCTTGTTTTACAATTGTTTCGCCATCTTCAAAAGAAACAGGTTCTAATGCGTCCGCTACCGTGAGACGTTCCCATTTGTCAAGACTCTCTGAAATAATTTTTTTTATATATAATAGAGTAAGAGATTGTTATAACATAATTTAAAGCAGGGACTATTTTCTCGAACCAACGTCTTTACTCTAGTTTTTATTTTAAAATATTTTTCCACATTTGTCTTTTAATATTTGTAAGATCCGTATTTGAGAATATTCCTTGTTTCGAAGAAATAAGATATTAATTATAAGGTATACAGATTAGATTAAATTTTAATAAAAGCCACATCAAGCTACTTCTATATCATTGGATCGACAAATCGTAAGTCAAAAAGATCTTATCAGATATTATAAGATCGGTTCAAAGTAGACACCGAAACAACGACATGATGCTATTATAATTCCTACTCTATAGGTGATATCAATTAAACTTACCCAAAATTGACACACGCGACAAAAATTCTTCGTACATTTTCCTTTTACGTATAGTTGAACCCATCAAAATTCTTCGGTAAGAATCGCGGTCAATACCCCATAATTTGACATCGGTTTTTGCTCGCACAGTGGCTGCACGCGGTGTACCATAAATTAGCGCCAACTCACCGAAACTACCACCCTCGCCAATTGTAGTCACCAATTCGGAGTTAACAAATACCTAACATAAGAATTAGGTGTATTTATAATTGAAAGATCGTCTGGTAAGTACTTTCAATGGCCCACTCACCTCAACCTCTCCATGATCAATAACGTAGAAGTTATCACCTTCATCGCCTTGCTGAATTATATTCTCTCCCATTAAATGTGTAACTGGAAACATAGCATCGAAAATGTCCGAACGTTCATTTTCATCCAAATGCGAGAACAACACATTTTTAGCAATTGCCTTGGATAAAGCGGCCATGGTTTTGTAATCCTTTGGTACAACTTTCTTCACATAACTTGTGGCGTCCTCTTCGGTGACCGGTTCGGCTGAGATACCGCCACGTCGTCGTACAGGTGGAGCAGCCGTTTGTGGCATTGGACTGAGATCTTCGAAGTCATCTGGAGTGGTAACTTGTTTGTGAGCATCAAGTTTAACTTGTTCCTATGATCAATAAATAAAAAAAATTGTCATTAAATTAATGAATAACAAAAACTTAAAGAAAAAAAGGGTTTTAAGCATATTAAAACGTAAATTATATTTCAATTAATTAACAGAGAAAAAAATTTAAACATGTTGGTAACTACTCGAAAAGGCTTGAATTTTTCATCGCTTGCTCATGAATAATCGATTACGATGGAAAAGACTTTCCACTACCCGACTATGTCGAGATTCGATTAGTGCTTGTAAGCTTAAAGAACTACAAGGCGGAGCTGAGCTATTCAATTATGGCGGTGAAGAGCTGATAAGATGCAAGTATCCGGTCTTTTCGAACGGATTGTGTGATAGACTAAAGCTCGCCGTTAGCAAACTCATCGGACCTTATCAGTGTGTCTTTAGACCTGGTAAATCAACCATTGACCAGATATTGACTATGCGACAAATCTTGGAAAAATGATAGACACACACTTTCGGTTCACCTAACCCCGTTTATGTCAACAGGTAACGTTAATTTAAATTCGCCAACTTAGCAACACCTCGCAGGTGGGTTGCTCCAAATCCTTCTTATCCGACGGATTACTTCTGCTGCGTGTGCCAGAAAATACTCCACCCCTCCTCCTCTTTGGTTAGGAGCAACCAGTGCAACGGCTGGAGTCATCTTAAGACCTGCTCAGGCCTTAAGACCCATACGGAGTGGACCAGCCTCCACGGCAGTATCTTTAGCACCTTTACCCACTTTGGGTAACCAACAGACCTCGACGGTAGCTCCTCGCAGCATGACACCCACCAAGCTAATTGGTCCGGCTTTACCTAACTCACCGAGAACGCCTTTAGTGCTCTCTCCACTCCATCAGACGTCAGTACTGGTGAACGTTACTTCCGCGGGGCGACGGTATTAGCATTTAGGCGCGATACCCTTCGAAACTAAGAACCCGGGAATCTCCTAATCATGGATTTAAGCGCAGAGATTCGCAGTGTAGTTAGCAGCCACAAGCGGAAAAAGTGAGAGGAATACTTAAGGACCTGCAACCTCTCCTCTGGAGCAACAAAGCTCGGGGCTACAGTTGAGTCGTTGTCTAACCCGACGAGACGAGATGACCGGGTGGAAATTTCATTCGGTGATCACGCCTCGTCGAACCCGAAGAGATGCGCAAGCTATTTTAGCCGACTTTTTACATTGCGTCCTTCGGTAAATAAAGCGAAGCGACGTGTGACCTCCGTATGCGCATACTGCCAAACCCCAGCGCCACGCTTGATTTCTTCAGGGAAGAGGTTCAGGGGGTCGGGAACTCTAATGCCTCCAAATCCATCGGCCCCCACGGAATAAGCATGCTAAAGCATCTCCGACCAGCCGAGCAGACTTTCTAACCGAGGTTCTCAACTTGTCTTTGACCACCCTAATGATACCTTACGTGTGGAAAACGGGCGGTGTAGTCCCGCTACTCAAACCAGGGAAACCAGCTAACAAAGTAGTCTTATCGGTCGATCTCTCCTCTTCCCAGTAGCGAAGACACTTGAGGCAGCACATCAGCATGACTTCCGAAAAGTGCACAGCACCACAACAGCACTAAACGCCATAAACACCCAGTTAGTCAATGGCCTTAACCAAAATCGAACCTGCGCGCGAGCTGTCTTATAAAAATTAAATATATCGCTTTGGTTGTGATTTTCTTTCTGATGTTAAAAAAATGTATGAAAGATGCGTATAAATTTTTGTATTAAAAACAGAATTAAGTGCATAAAAACACTTCAAATTGTGATAATGTCATACAGCGGGAGTGTTCTGAGTGAAAGAGTTGCTCACCCTTACTTTTTACCAAAGACAGCACCTCCGTACGACTTTACAAATAATGACGAGATAAAAAATGAATCATTGAAAAACTAGGCGAATGCCAAAATCGCATATAAGAATTGCCACGAGATTTGGAAAAATGCAAGCAAAAGTATGGGTGAGTTCCAAAACGTGAACGGGAAACTCTTTCGGGTAGTGGTGGGAGTTTCGAGATGTAGAAATTAAACAGCAGCGGAGAGAGGACACAACCCTGCGGAACCCCCTGTTTAGCTTTTCTGGGTTTTGATGTTACTCCTCGGAATAGCCCATGACCCAACTTAGCAACCCCGGCGGTAATGAGGATTCCTCAGTGTCTGTTAGTAGCACTGAGTGATTGATGGTTTCAAAAGCTTTTGACAGATCCAGTGCTACCAGAGAAGTTCGCGCGCAGGGTCGGTTTTGGTTAAGGCCATGGACTATCTGGTTGTTTATGGCGTTTAGTGCTGTTGTGGTGCTGTGCAATTTTCGGAAGCCATGCTGATGCGCTGCTGGACGTGGATGATGGGTGAGAGTCGGGAGCAGTAAGGCCTCAAGTGCCTGGGGAGAGGAGAGTTATAGATAGGATAGAACTCTCCTTTGTTGGCTGTTTTTCCCGGGTTGAGTAGCGGGACCACCCTGCCCACATCATCCACACATCGGGTATCATTAGGGTGGTCAAAGACAAATTGAGGACCCTCGTGAGAAATTCTGCTCCCGCTGGTCCTAGGTGTTTTTCATCGTCCGCCGGGGCCGATGGATTTGGAGGCTTTCGCCTTCTCGATGACCCCCTGAACCTCCTTCCTGGAGAAATCAAGCACCGCGCTGGTGTTTAGCAGTTTGTGCATACGGCGGGTTGCACGTCGCTTCGCTTTGTCTACCGAGGGATGTAGTGTGAAAAGTCGGCTAAAATAGCTCTCACCGACGAGATGTCCGAATGAAATTTCCACCCGGTCATTACGTCTCGTCGGTTTATACATCGACATGACTGTAGCCCAGAGCTTGGTTGCCCCAGAGGAGAGGTTGCAGGTCCCTGGGTGTTTCTCCCACGTTTTCCGCTTATAATTGTTGACTTTTTTCGAATGTCCGCGTTTAAATTCCTGATTAGGTGATTTCCGGGATCGGAGCTTCGCAGGGTGTCCCGCCTGGATGCTAATACCGCCACTTCTGTCGGCCTGCCGGGATGAAGCGGGCGGCAGCGGGGACCGTGGAGGTCTGTTGATTACCCTGAGTGGATAAATGTGCTGAAGGCATTGCTGTGGAGGCTGGAGCGGGGGGCGATTGGACGCTGGCAGCATGGGGCCACATAACTCGTGGTCCACTCCCTGTGAGTCTTAAGGCCTGAGCAGGTTGCATTTAACGACACACGCAGCAGAAATAATCCGTCGCACTAGGGTTGGTTTCGACACCAGCCCTGATAAGAAGGATTTGGAGCAACCCAGCTGCAATGTGTTCTTCCGTTGGCGAACTTAGACTAATGTTAACTGTTGACCTAACCGTGGTTACGTTGCCGAAAAGGTGACAGCCCTTGGCCGGATAAAATCCGGGTCAACTCCGGTGCCTAGAACCGGCTGTCGTGAGAGTTGTATGGTTTCGTACCTATGTATGATTGCTTTGCAAGTGACTTTTATGAATTCACCCTGTATTATTATATCTGAGAGATTATAAACAGACCTCGAATACCCCTATATCTATAGGAAGCAGCCTGTTTCCGCTACACAGACTCACCGTCGTTAAAACTTATATCTGTTCATATCTGTTCACTATTACTGTGTACCTACACTACTCACCATTGTATTTTTATTGTTGGTCAATCTCACTCTTACTTTTGTTAATTCTTAATAATCTTTCCGTAACATACCGAAGTAAATAATACATAAGCCAAGTGGTCGCCGAAATTAAAATGAGAATGTGTTTGTGAGAGAAGAGAAAATGATCTAAAAAACAAATTAAATTTATTTAAAAGTAAATTTTTCCTTCATACAATCTAATAACATTGAATACCATTAAAAGCATTTAAAACCATTAAATAATAGAATAAAAGAATACGTTCAAGCAGCGACGCCATAATTGGGCAAAGAAATGGTGACCACTGAAGTAAAGGCATGCCATTCACTTCTTGGATTTTCGTGGTTTGCGCTACAACTCGTACATATGTATGTAACTAATAAAAGTTTTTGGTTTGCTGCATATTGATGGATTTGTTTAGTTTTTTTTTTGTTGATATTAACTAAGTATATATTTTCAAAATTAGTTACATTAAAAAACTATGTTTAATTCCAACAGAAATCTACGATTTTCGCATATAAAGTCGAATTTTTAACATTCATTTCATAGTAATTCTTGGCAAAGTATATGCATTCGAAAATGAAAGGAAGGGCCCTGGAAGACCTAAAGTATGACAACATAACTTATTGGCAATCTCTTTCGAACTACAACTTTTGTAGAAATCCGAAAAATGCAAAGAGTATTTTATGATTTTATTATTATTTCCATCTTACTACTTTTCCATAAAATAGTTGATTACCTAAATTTCACATTATGAATTCAAAACGTACCAAGTTGAACTTGAATTTAAACACGATTTTCTTCGTGAACACATCGTCATAACTACGACCTTTCAACAGACGTGACATTGTTGAATAGAAAAAAAGCAATTCAGCTGTATCTGACGCTACTCAATAGCCTTGAAAATACGTTATGCAATTCTTTCTCTGCACCTCTTAAAACATCTTTATGATCCGATATTTTCATCGTCCATGCTTAGTGCAGTCGTTGTTGGTTGGTGAGATGACATAGCCCAACTAGCCATTTTACATACCACCGGACTGGAAGACATATCGACGTTGCTTGCTGCGGCGGAGTGTTACTAGCTGCCAGACTGCCAGTGTGCTTGCACTGCATCGCAACGATAATTTTCACGTTAATGGAAGCATTTGGAAATATCAACGTTAAAGCATTTATCAAGATAAATTTCTTATCGCTTTTACCAGAGACGGAAAGCTGCCGTCAATGTTAAATCGTTAATAGATAATGCTAAACCTTAAAATTGAAGTGTGCTGTAAATCAAAGCAGGCAGCCATTTTAAAAATTAACGATAACGAAGAGTTTTTTACGATTTCCAGGTTACGATTGCATTTCGTTTTTATAGCATGGCGCCAAAACGAAACGCTTACTTTTCGTTGAGTTAATTTCG